ATGCTACCAAGCATCTCTCGACCATATTATTGTAGACCATGACATCGGCTCCGGGCAATTGACCCTTGAACCACATGTTCGTCACCTCATCTCGCGTAGGCAGATACGCCATGCAGCAAGCCGCGTAGATCTTGTGGTAGTCAGCAATAACTGGATCGAGCACGATAGATGGTGGGCTTTTCGCGTCGGTGGCGACCAGTGCTGCGACGCCTCCGGCCACGGTGTCGACACAGTCGATACCTGCGTCGGCAATCGCGGCCGAGGCCACAGTTATGCAGCCGCTCAACACATTCATCGCTTCCCAGCCATCATCTTGTCTTGTCTCGGGCGCATGGCGGTCCTGGTCGCCCTCGATTACAGTGACAATAATGTCGACACCACTCTTAGGCCACCGATCCGCGATGATGGCCCCTCGTAATGCGGTTTCTAAGTGGACGCCGAGGTCCCTCTCACTAGAATCTCGCAGGTACCCACGTCGGTGTTTTGTCGCGAAGGGCGCATATTTAACGTGAGTCGTTAGGATGATGTGAGGAGAGAAGGGTGCGGATCGCGGGAGAGCACGTGGCCCGTGGACGGTGCAGGTTAACTTTAGGCTCGTGTTGCTTGGGTTGTTAGCCTTGTCAGTCGCAATGTTTGGGTTCCTCAGCTCAAGATAGGCCGAGCCAGACGCGGACGGGGTCACACCCGTTTTCAGATCTACAAATTGAATCTTAGCGAGTGGCAGGGTGAACAAGGAGGTCTCACCGTAGTCGACTACCTACAGATCTGGCGAATGGCATTGTCAGGCTTCTCGGTGATTTGCCGAGGTGGAGGAGGGCTGTCATAGACTGGCGGCTGAGTAGCTCCCACGGGGCCATTGATCCTTCTCCTATCAGCCATTGCAACTGGGATATGACTGGGCCACTGGAGTGAGCAGTGACGGGAATGTCTAGCTTGTTTCCAATGCTGAGTGAGGCCAGGAGAGCCTTAATCATCTCGAGATACGGATCCGTACTTATCAAGATGGATAGGCATACACTATGTACTTCGGACGCTTATCGATTACCCCGCCAACCTCAGTACCTACATATTACCTCGTACATGAGTATACCGCAACGATCTAACCACGTTAGTAGGTAGTGTATGTATTTGTTAGACGAGTGGTTTAGGATGGGCGCGCCGCCAAGACTGCTAAATCCCACTATAGAAGCCGTATCGTGGCGCATTCATTTTCGAAACATTCTTCCATTTTTACTTACGTTTAACTGGGTAGATAAGCTCCACCAGAAGAACTACCGGTAAACCCTTTCCTTTCCTCTTTTAAATTCGATTCCTGCGACGAAGATTTTCATGCCTCTTTTTTTTTTCCCTAACTCTCGTAACCCACAGCACGCGATTGTTGAGATCTCACAGTCGCAACCCTTCGAAGCAACACATCTCGACTAGAAAGTGGAGGGCGGATGCTAGCATAGCTTGCAACGCCATTCTATCTACTTACCTATTTTGGTTTTGTCTTGAATGGAGAATCTAGTCGTTGGACTCTGTTCTCGAGTCATATAGCCGACGTAAGTCCAAACAGGTCGCCCAAGTTTCGCGGCCGGGTCCTATGACAACATCACATATTCTTCCCCGTTTTCCCTTTCGCTATTGATGAATTTTTTTCCACAGTTCTCGCGACTTCCTGAGCGTACTGAACTAAACATGCACTACCATCTGAAGCACCATCTTGCCCACGTCTGTTGGAAATACCTCGCGAACCCGTGGCTGACCTTCACACTAGGTAGTACTATCATTGAATCTTGATCCTTATTTGGATTCTACGGCTCTTGTCATTCAAAATACGCGTGCTTTAGTAGGTGAGTTACCATTTCCAGCTGTTTCTCTATGGAACGAGTGTTGTTGTCATTGATGAGACCTAAATTATTCAGTTCTGCTTCTGAACATAAATGAAGTAAACCACATACCAAATTTTTACTCTGAGCCAACTATTTCCGTCGAGCATGCTTGATTCATTTCGTCACGGAACAATTTGCTGACTATGAACTCTAGCTTACTTATATAGGTTTCCCTCATCGATCATCCCTCATATGAACCCCCTGGAAGTGGTAAGTCCTACGCTCAATTTGCCCACATCTGGACGTCTGTCATGATGAGAACTGTTTATCCATTCAACTATCTCACAATGGGTCGAGCTACCCTCCCACACCGGAGCTGGTCCTTCTGGGCCGGTGATGATTGGTTGTGGAGTTACTTCGTAACAGCTTCGGTCTCGTACTGGTGTTATTGCGGGTGTGATGCTGGCTTCCGTGTTTTCTAGTCCAATGTCTCGTATTGAGGCGTTGGGCTGGAGAGCCGACTCATGTGAATGAGTAAACTGGTTTCCTGAACGACAGATATACCACGTTTTATATCTCAGGCTGGTCTTATATAGCGATTTTACTTACTAACATAGTCAATGTCAGATTTGTTTTCGTTTGCTACATTTTTGCACGTCCTTTTCAAAGCCATCGTCTACTATATATATAGTTCCGTACCTGCCCAGTCTCGTCTCGTGTTCAGACCGTTTCATAGCAACCGACAATCTGCCCCCCGTAGCCTTGTAAAACGTCTAATTTTATTGTTTTATTGTATGTCTATGAATATAATGGTACAGCAGCATGCATGGTAAAAGTCCTTTATAATTTCCTGTGCAAAACGCCAGCAGCACCCTGGTGGCTGGGGAAGATGAGTGTGTCGGCAACCACAACGTTCTCCCTTCGGCCGGCAATGAAGACGATCACCTCGGCAATGTCGTCGGGCGTGAGAGGTTCACAACCGCTGTAAATGCCATTAGCGATGAGAGAGAAGCAAGATTTATTTGAGACCTCCAGAAGATAAAGTGGTAATTACTTACGCGTAAACGGCATCGGCCTTAGCCTTATCACCATAGAACCGAACAACGGAGAATTCCTGTCCCAGCACCATCAGTACGTGAGTTTCTTGGAGCGGGCGAACTCGAGCCGTCCCCACTTACCGTCTCAACCTGGCCGGGGTCAACCTCCATTACCCGGACGCGGGTAGCGATGAGCTCCTTGCGCAGGGAATCGGTGAAGCTGCGAATGGCGGCCTTGGTGGCGCAGTAGATGCCGCCTCCGGGGTAGGGGTCGCGACCGGCAATGCTGCCGATGTTGATGATGTCGCCGGCGCCACCGTTGGGGCGGCGCAGGAAGATGGGCAGGACGGCCTGCGTCATGTTGATGAGGCCTGTCACGTTCGTGTTGAACATGATGTTCATGTCCTCCTCTGCGATTTCAGGGGCTCTTGCTACGCCCTTAACCAGACCGCTATGTGTTGATGTTAGTTACATTATCTCAATCATAGGTCGTAAACAATAGGTTAGTCTATGAGATGGCTCGATGTCTTCTCACTTCCACCCGCTGAGCTACACGATTCCACAACTGCGGGGTAAAAGTAGACAAATAAGATAGGTAGGTAGGTAGGTAGAAAGATAGAGAGATGAAGAAAGGAAGAGAAATAGATAGATAACTCACGCGTTATTCACAAGCACATCAATCTCCTTGAACTCCTCAGGAAGCTTGGCCACAAACCCGCGCACCTCATCCGGCTTGCTCACATCAAGCTGCACAGGCAGGACCTTGACAACACTACCGACCTCGGCCTCGATATCGGCAGCGATCTGCCTCAGCGTGTCGAGACGGCGCGCGGTGAGCACGAGCTTGATACCGCCAGCCGGGGCGGCGGTACGCGCAAACTCAAAGGCGGTGCTGCGGCCGATTCCGGACGAGGCGCCGGTGATGACGACGGTCTTGCCGGCGATGCGCTTGGCGGGTGCGGAGGCCATTGTGCGGGCTGGTGAGAAGGGGAGGTTCTGGAGGAGGGGGTGGGTGAGGGTTGGACGGCTTAGAAGTGAGCGGAGCGTGTGGTGGAGTTTTGTTGCGGTGTTACGGAGGGGCATATAGAAAGGTATTCTATAAGTAGGTAGGGAGAAGGGATGAAGTCTTGTGCGCTTCACGACGGGAGTGTGAGATAGAAGAGGAAAAGCAGGGAAATACCCGTTCCGATCGGTCTGCCGTGAGGGAAGAGGTACGGTATAGTAGTAGTAGTAGTAATAGTAGTAGTAGTACCTACTATAGTACGCAGTAACTGGTAGGTTATCAATTCCTAAAAGTGGGCGGGCGGGCGGATGAAGACGGAGAGGTCACGTATGCATACGTATACGATGGGATGATGAGTTAACTTGAGTACGAAGTTATACCTTCTTATCCCTACGGATCTCAGTATTCCACCCAGGTATCTACATTAACATTGTCGCGACTCGCGCCGAGGTTGGAGTGGGAGTTAGTGTACCTATTCCGTATTCCGCAGGAAGTAATTTCTCCAACCCCCGCCGTACGCATTAACCCCCCACCCCGCATCCGCAAGAGAGAGAGCCCCGTCTTCGGATCACTGGCCGTCCAGGTATGTACGTATGTACGTACGAAGTACGAAGTACCAACACTACACATATCAACAACCTATGCTGTAAATAGTCAAGAGAGAGATTTCAGCCGACGGGTGATTTGAATGGCTAAATGCCCACTGAAGGAACCTAAACTTGAATGCGGTGCTAGCAACGTAGGACTTAAATCCGCTTCAGCGATCACCCTGGTAGCGACACGAGAAACGCGCGGGATGCGGGTATGCATTGCAAGAATGGAATACATACTTTATGTAGGTGGTGGTGCGTCCCGTTGGATGTCGAGTGACCTCTTACCTACCTACTAGGTAGTTCCTACGGATCTTGTAGGTACGCCAAGCCGTGTATGAATGGCGTGCTCGCGGTGTATACACACAAGCTTCATCATGAAATCGCCATATATCGTCACATCCAGTAACTCTCGCACAGCAATGCCTGCCTACCTACTACCTATTAGACGTTTATATACTACCTACTACTACTACTACTACTACCTAGCAAAACACCACACTGAATCAGCCACAACATAACCAGTTCCACCCCGCGCATCAAGACAACAGCACACGCTCAGGTAGTGTAGTGGTTAGCACGAGAGATTTTGACGCAAACGTATCAAACTTCTCTAATCCCCGGTTCGAACCCGGGCCAGAGCTTTTTGTTCTTCCCGTTCCTTTTTTTTTTTTGACTGGATAGGCAGGCAGGCAGGCAGGCACCTACGACCTACCTAACCTACCTAGACAGACAGATAGGCAGATAGGCAGATAGGCAGATATCCGTCCATTCACCAGCCCACGATAGATAATAATGCAAGGGGAAGACGAGCCACCCCCTTTTTTTCTATACCAGTAGCAAAGCACGCCCAATCATAGGTAATCTTTATAAAACCTGTAGGCATCTAGAATAGAATAGAATAGAATATAATATAATAGAATAGAATGAATAGATACCTACCTACCACGGATCCAACGCAAGATCGATCTTCAAGAATAATCGTATTGTATAAGTCTACCTATGTAGAATCTTGTGTAGAAGCAGCCCTTCTCTCCCTATACCCCGCGGTACAAATCTAGAGCCACAAACGTCGTGTCCCAGACATGCATGCGTATAATAATACCCCTCCAGAGACCAGCTCTGATTTCTTCTTCTCTACTCTATGCTAGACCAGGAAGTGAGTCTAGTAGACATTGCACAGGTATGTACTTAGGTATGTATATGCGAGACCACACCTCTCCCCCATGGGTCCAAAAAGGTGCCGGCAACCTCGAGGCTCGGCTAGTCGACCGATGCTGTCAGTGAGCTATGACAAGCAGCATCTGTATGTTGGCGATGGGATACTTTTTCTTCGATAAGGACGTGTCCTAAAACCATAAATCCGACCTCACGATCCCAGAAAACCCCGCCCCCAATTCACCCACCGCCTCTAAAGGCCACCAAACCAGCTCCGCACACTCGCAATCGCAGAGTCGTACTCGGACACAACCGTAGGCTTAGGCGAAAGCGGCCGCGGTTTATCCCACGCGTGTTTCTCGCCCTCCACGATGCGGACACAGACCCGTCTACCTCTGTTCTTGAGCCTGTCCGCGAACGCCTTGCCCTCCGCGAGCAGCATGTCGTGTTCGCACAGACAAAGGTGCACGGGCGGCAGTTGGTCGATCATCTCGTCCGACATCAGGCCCGGCGAGAGCCGTGCTTCGTCCCGGTGGCGACGCAGTAGCGGCGGGTAGATGTACGACGCATCGATCAGATCCGTGAGGTTGGTGGGGAGCGTCAAGTCCGGATGTTTGCAGGTAATTCTTTTCTGTGGTCTGTCTATCGTCCAGTCGAGCGGGGGATAGTAGAGGACGAGGCCAGCGATGCGGGGCAACTTGTTGAGCGATAAGGGGATATTATAGTTCCATCTCGCCGGGTCTTGCATGACGAGCCAGCTACTCGTTGCCAGGTTCCCGCCTGCGGAGAAGCCCGAAAGTATGATGCGGTCCGTGTCGAAGTTGTAGCGGCCCGCGAGCTCGCATATCTGGATGATGGCGTCGACACAGTCCTCCACTGGTGTTGGGTAAGGATGGTTTGGTGCGAGGCGGTAGTTTACGGAAAAGACCACGGCGCCCAGCTTGTGCACGAGCGCCTGCGCCCACCGTCCATCGTCGGTTCCCGAGCCGAGAATGAACCCGCCGCCGTGGAAGTTGATGACAGCCGGCCTCTTTGCAGTGCCGGGCGGCACGGGCGGCACCCACACGTCTACGCTGATCGTCTGTTTGCCACTCCTCTCACCCAGCGTCGAGTCTAACCATATCGTTTGCGTGGGAGATGGCACGGCGTAATTGCCTAGCTTGAAGCCAACGCAAGCAGCCAGTCGCAGGAAGAAGGCCTGGGTGCGGAGAAGCCAACGGGGGCTGTTGTGCGCAGGGTTTACGTAGTCCTCATCTGAGTCGATTCGAGCAGCCTCGATGTCCACTAAATGTTTGGATTCCCCAGACATCGCCGAAAAATCAATCAAAAAATCGGTGTCTGTCTGTCTAGTGAATGATGGGCTGGGAATTGTGGATGTCGCATGGATTGCGGGAGTGGTAGAGTAAAAGATAGGTAAAAGGCTTGGGAACGTGGATGGGATCAAATGACGAAAACATGGGGTTGGCTTGGATATGACGTCGTTTACTCTCATAAATACTCTCGTAAATACTCTCGTAAATACTCTCGTAAATACTTTTGTAAATACTTTCGTAAAGAAATCGATTACGCGTTTATCCAGAAATACCTGCTGAACGTGTCGTCTCAATACGGCCTTTCTGAATCGAGAGACCCAGGGGTGATAATATCATCGTCTGTGAATGACTTGCTTTTTGAAACAGATGCCCCTGGGCCGGTGTAAGGATATATTTACCATTATTTGTTAGCCGCTGTGTCTCCTGAAGGAGGCAAAATCTTGGTACCAATTATTAGACAACTTTTTCCCTCCCGCCAAGAACTTTAATTATTTTTATCCACAAGCCTAAGTCGAACTCGCCACTACATGCCTGCCCATTCCAGACAAAACGCCCTGACTGGTTCGCCACAGCTTTTGGGCTGCCCTTCTTTGTCATCCTGTAATACATTGTCGCTGTTGCAGGGCTCTTCAACACTGGAGCCCTCAATCACAGCCCCGCCAAAGAGGTATCCCTTTTTGACAGAAGTAGCAAGACGCCCGCCTCCCACGAGATCCATCATTGTGATTTCTTCCTCCCAGCCGAAATGGACCGCAGCGAAGTGACTGTGAAAACGCAGGGGGTCGCCTGGGTATACATTATAGTCACAACCAAAGCGAAGACCAGGCATCATAAAGTATCCCTTATCGTGCAGGTGCGCAAACAACGGATAAGAATTAGGCACATCTACAACAACCGACGGCTCAGCCTCGGAATCCGCTGCGGCAGGCGCTAAAAGAAAGCTGCTAGTAGTGGGTGTGAGTGCGTAACCTTCAACCTCGTCAGGAAGTTCATTGGTAGGTTTGCGTGGTACGGTTACGGAATCAAAGAGACCCGTGTTCTCTTCTGCCTCAACATCTCCGACCGGAATGTCCTTGGCAGGTGAGCTTCCCGAGTCCTTTGCGCCCTTGTTCTTGTTCTTTTTTGACTGCCCTTGTTGTATCTTAGGCTTATTGCGGTTGCTGTTCTCAATCGCAGCCATCTGCAACTTCTTACCCTGATTCTTTAGTGCCCGTAGGTATGCCCGTCGGGACGCTTCATCGAATGACACCAGTCGAGTTGGATGGAACGTCGCGTCGTCGGCAATGTAAGCTACTTTCTTTTCAACCAGAACTTGGGCTTCTTCGGGCATAAGCTCCAAAGGTAGGCCCATAAGGATGTTCTGTTCAGGATTCTGCGGTAAAGTCCCTACAAAGGCAGAGCAAATATTATGGTTCCTGCGCAAATACATCACATCTTCTATGTCGAACAGTAAGTACCTCCCGGCGACTTTAGATATCCTCAGTAGAGGGCGATCAGGGGACGAGATTGAGGTCATTTTCATGTCGGCAGCAACGCTGTCTGTGAACGAGTTAGTCGACACTCTCAAGAGCTTCCGGCTATGCAGCAGAGCAGATGAATGTACAATCATAAAAAAACCAGATTGAGATGTTATCAACAGAATATTTTGTTCAGTGGATTGACAGATATTGATTGAGTGTAATCATTGTACCAATTAATAGAGACAGAGCAAAGAAGAAAACGTTTTGTTGACTTACCTTGGTATTGTTGGGCGGGATAAGGTGGGTTGAGAATATGATCAGGTTCATCAAAGTTTTCTGAGGGAAGTTTTAGTGGCAGGTGGACCCGAGCCCGTTATCGCGGTACCTAGTGTACAGTGGTTACATTGCGATATGCAATTATCACGTCTATGTTTTCTCGTGCAGCCAGGTTGGCTGCAAGGTTAGGTAACAAGTCGTTATTTGTGGTGGGCAATCTTAGAAATCCATACTTGGCTTTTTTGAATCTGCCTTGGGTTCGCTCTCATCGCTGTCGGCTGGGGGGAGAGCGAATGGCTTGATGATTAGTCCCTTTGACCGGCTAAGACTGAAGGACTGATCATCCAGTGCTGAGTGTGAGCCGCCTCCTTTCTCATGAAAAATTGGCAGACTGTGAATTTTGATCAAACCCTGAACTTTTTCATCATCGCTGCTACCACCCTTTGACGATGGTGGAGGTTTGTGAATAGTTGTGGACTGCAATGGTATGAATTCGAGCACACCGTCACATAATAGTTCCATCCATCGAGTCAGGCCTGTTGTCCGTGGGTAAAGGGAGAGAGGTAAAGTCAAGACAGCAGTCAGGGACTTGGGGTATTGTCTCAAGAGCGCCCTCAGGGAATGCAAGAACTGTAGCACCTCCTGCGGATGGGAAGACGAGCTCGCATACATTGTCGGTGACAAAAGGCTAGGAACTATTACACGATGAACACTTGCCGGAGGAGAATTTGCCAATTTCGAAGATAAATCTCGTATGAAGAGCTTGAGTGGAGAGGTTGGTTGAGATCCGGGGACTGGCATCGGCATAGATTGATGAAATCCAATCTGACCCTTCACATCGCCAGGAGATAGCCTTTTTGTGAGCTCAAATGAATGACAGAATGGCGTAGCTGAACTGGCGTTGGGCGCGCCTAGAGCTCGCTGAGCTTCTCTATCTATTGAACTTGTGAGCCGACGATGAACGGGCCGAAGTACAGATGTTGGCTCGGAGCATACCTCTAGCCGCCCCAGCGGAGCCTAAGCTCTCATATCTCCAAGCAATCTTCATTTTATCTCCTGAAGGCGCTTCTGATTTACTTGAAGACTTAACATCAGTCGATAATCCTGGTAGCTCTGCTCGCCAGCCCTCGTGTAAGCCGAGCGCATGAACTTGATGCCCCTGAACTAAGCCCTCGGCTACATAATAGCGAAGGAGCACACCAGCAAAGTCGGTGGTCCCATGCTCTCCAATGAGGAGAGAGGTTCCGAGAGGTATCCCTGAATGACCAGCCAAAAGATTGTCCAAAGACGCAGTCCCTGAGGAAGTTGTTGGCCTTCCATCAAGAGGTGACGGCCGGACACCAGGAATAGGTATGGTGTCAGTCTTATTTTGTGCAGCCTGGGATGAGCCAGAGCTACTGATCACAGAATTTCTTTTTCTAAATGACATGATCCCAG